ATCATAGAGAAAATGAAGCTTGTTTTTCCTATCGAAGCTCCGTTGCACAGCAATATACACAGTAGGGCCTAATAACGCCTGTAACACTTCCTTCAGTACAGGAACTCTCATCCCTGCGAACAACGGCATTGGTGTTGCTAGTATATACGGTTTTCTATTGATAGATGAAGTGGAAATTTTATAGGAAACTCAAAGACATACGTACCGAACAATACGCAGCACTTGAATCAGATGTGTGTGTTACTCCACTACCAGATGCATCAAATGATGGGCCACATCCATCCGTCCCCACATTACAAGAATAACAATCGATAGCATCGATTCCTTGTTGTACAACTAAATAATTTTTATTTGAAGAATTATTTAAATTATTAAAATATTTAAACATACGAAGAAAAACCAAGCAAATATAAACGAAAAGAATTGTATTCATAGTAATGCTTGTTGAAGAGCTAAGATGAATGTTACTTCTATAAAACAAAAAAAAAAATCAACTGACAATCTATGAAGAAGTTTATCATATTTATAGTGTCAATCCGTTACTAAGTGATTGATGAAATCAAACATTTAGAAACATATCAAGTTGAAACACTTATTATTTTTAATTTTTTTTTTATCAACTGCATATAATGTAGTGATAACATGCTGTGATTTCATTTCGATCTATATCTTTAGTAATACAAGCAATCAAGAGCTACATTTCATTGAAAGAATAATCGAAAAAAAAAAAGAAATGTTTGTAACTATGTTTTAACAAGAATTTAAATCTATTCTAACAACGAAATATACAAATTAAATGTTTTATGACATGGACAATAATTTTAATTATTCGAAGTCTGTTTTCATTTTTTTTTTATTAGATTTATTCGCTTATACTAATGGATATATTCGTGGACTTTTTTTGTTCAGAAGTTGAAGATGAAACAAATTTTTGAATGACTATCAAGAAAAACAAGAATCTGAAAAGAATTAGAAAGAAAAGATACATTTGTTAATCTAATTAGCGAATTTGAAAGAGAGTGAAGCCAAAAAAACCTTGTCGTTTCTGAGGTCTTATATGAAATTCTATTAGAAACTTTTTCTTTGAGTTTTTACTATAACATAAGACTTCAGGGATGATAATTTCTTTTTTACAACATTCATCTGATCTTGAAAGATCTTATCATTCGATTGATTGACCAGAAAAGTTGATTCCTACACATAACATTCTCATAACAGACGACTTGACAAAACATTAATTATTATTTACTTATTGCAATAAATATGAAGAAAATCATTTATATTAAAACCTAAGCATTTTTTAATATACATGAAATTTTTTATAATTTATTCCTTTCGGTTTTTGTGCTTGATAAATGTGTTAGATTTAGTTTCATAAAATGTATTTTTTTTGTTATAATCATTTTTTATGAATTGAAATGAAAGAAAAGTTGAACATTTTGAAATTTATTATAAGAAAAAAGTAGCCTCTTTTAAACAAGATAATTCATAACATTTGAAGATATTGTATATGTTTTAGGTCATATATTCTTCATTTGACATATGCTAAATTTGTTTTATTTCTCAACAGGTGCTTTGTCTTCATCAAACACCTGCTGATAAATCATAAAGAAAAAAGAAAAATTGTTTTTTTCTTTGTTTAAGTATCAATATTGATACTTTGTTGTTTCATAGCAACTCATACAGACTTAAGGAACTGTTATCGGTGATAAAAGATTAATTGAATCTCGAACAAAATACTTTTTATGTAAATAAAAGTACATTCTTATCATCGACTGAATTGTATTGTTAAATTTAAACAAGAAAAAAAACCAGAATTCATTATTTTCTTGTGTAAATCAAGTCTTTTAGATTTTGTTAGATTCTTACATATGATTAATTAATCAAGCATTTTTCTTTTAGCTTTTATCATTTTTGTTTGCATAAACAAATAGAAAATTTATTCTTATTGTAAAAAGAACAACAAATGTAGTACCTGATTATAATTATTGTCATATGAAATAATGAACTTTAATATCATAGACATGTTAAAATAGCAGTAGTATTAATCATTTTAGTTTTTGACAAGACAATATTCACTTCATTAGAATCCGACTATTAGTTTCTTAAAAACCAGATTCAATCATGATATTCATACATCTATCACCTACATGTTGATAAAATATTCTTCTGGATGATTTCGACGACACCCCACGGAAAAATTTTTCAAGAAAAAACCGCGGTTTTATAAACCGCGAAAGTCAGACCGTTTATACGGTTTTTGAAACCGGCGAAAACCGCGGTGAGAACCGAGAAAATCGCGGTCCGAGCTGAGTTTTTGTAGGTCTAACCGCGGTTTTCTCGGTTCTCATTGCGGTATTTGCAAACCGCGGTTTTCGCCGGTTTCCAAAAACCGCATAAAAGGTCTGACTTTCGCGGTTTTTCAAAATGTGGAACAAAACCGCGGTTAACCTCAGATTACCGCGGTTTTTTTCGGAAGAATTTTTCCGTGGGATTCATGCTTTAGTAGAGAGTTAATTTGGGTATTGATTTCTTAAAAGAATGCTTTGTTTTCCAAATTTTAATCGTACTCTTTAACCTTTCCTTCATCTATCTGGATTTGTACAGTGTATCATTAACCTTCTCATGACTCCGCTACTATGTTTTCCCTTCCTGTACATCCAGTATCAAATAGAAAACTTTCAGAAAAAGTTTACTTATTCAAATCAAGAAGGAACCAACACCCACCCTCTAATCCAAAGTAAATGGAATCAATGTCATCTACAATGTCTCTTCAATTGAAAGATGCTAAAAGAATGTTTTATCGTCTTTCGAATCTTATATAACTTATTTTTTTCATAGTATACATGATTCAAACAAAGAAATGATTCTATCTTCTGGTAAAAAAAAAGTTTTCTTTTCGTACCATCTTATTGAAGACTCATAACAATCGACATTGGTTCTGCTTAGATTCATATATACTACTTCTTTTTTATTTAAATAAAAGTTCATCAAATAAATCTAACATACTACAAAATTTTTAGAGGCTTAACTATCACAAGAAGTTCAATATCAATCGCATTCAAAATTATGACAATGTTCATATTACTCCTCAAGAAAATAACAATCTGATCATGTAACATTATTCATATGGTCTGAATAAAAAAGAAAATATTTATAGTAACTGTCCGCATGTTGTTAATGGTTGATGCCTTATCTTGTGATGATAACATCTATTTAGCAATCACACAGCAATTTTGTAAATATATGAGATTTAAGTTTTTAAAGCATCTTTTTATTCAATCCGATGTTTATATTATCAAAACTTTTATTTTACTTATGAAAAATATTTGATTGATGAGTTTTTGGAAATTTGTCTTTCAAATCCATTGTGAATATTTATTTAAAAAAAAAATAGAACTAAGAAAAGTATAGGAAAATTTAAGGATGATTAAATGAAAAGAAGAGAAAAAGAGAATAGTCATTTGTCATTTGAAAAATAAAATCATCGTTGATGTTATTTGATCAATAACAGACCAATGAAGGCTGGAATCACTGCAAAAACGAAGCTTGCCTTTCTCATCAAAGCTTCGTTACATAGATCCGTTGTACAGCAATACAAGTAATAAGTTACACCATCGGTTAGGACACTCCCCTCAGTACAGGTTCCTCCAAGACCAAAGCTACGTGATATAGCATTAGTGTTGCTAGTAACTACGCTTTTCTAAAAAGGAAACAAATAAAAATTTTACAAGAATATTAACAAAATACTTACCGAACAATAAACAGCACTTGTATTAGACGTTGTTGTTATGACTCCACTACCTTTTGTATTAAATGATGGACCACATCCATCCGTACCCATAGTACAAGCATAACAATTTATAGCATCGATTCCTTGTTGTACAACTAAATAAGTTATATTCGAAGATTTATTTAAGTTACTAAAAAAAAAATTTAAATTTACCAAGAAAAATCAAACAATAAAGAGCAATAGTGATTGAATTCATTGTCGTTTTTTTTTCTTTCTTGTTAATCGAAGAGAGATGAAGTTAAGAACTAAATGAGAATCTGTCAGCAAGCTAGTCTAACTTATAGTCTACCGTTACTAAGATATTGTTGACAGGAAACATTTCCGGAGAAAAAAAAATATGTCATAAACGTTAGTTACTTTTGTCTAATAAATATTTTATCCAATACTTATATTACTATTTGATTTTTTTTTTAATGCATAGTATTATGATGTCAATCATATCGGAATAACAGAAAAATAAAATAAAAAAAAAAAAGCTAAAACATAAAAATTTAAATGTAAATGAAATAATATTCGATACTTAAATTTCTTTTTTTTTTTCAACATATTAATTTTAATCAATGAAAAAATGTTTAAGATAATTGACACATAATTATTTAATTATCTCTCGAAGAATTTATCAAAAATATTCTAAAACTTTGTTAGAAAGCATATGAATTCATTATATTTTCTTGCATTGATCGATTTCATAAATTAACGTAAGATTGTATCAGTTGCATTCTATAAGTATTTTTTTTTTCATATGATACTAATTTATTTGAAATAGATTGATTGCAATTCATGAAGATTATTATTCATACAGATATATTAAAAAATTTCTATAAAACTTTTTATTAATACAAAGCGAATTATCAAGTACAAAAACAGTTTTGATGGTAATAATCAATTTCATGCTTAATCCAATCACTATATAAATCAGCTTTGCACTATGTGATTTTAGGCAATGTAATTTAGATGGTGAAAAAAATAAATAATAAAAGAAAATCATCATATTCAATAGTAATACATCGTGATTTTTTCCGGTAACTTCTGATCATTTTGTATCAAAAAAGAACAACATATAAATTGTAAATCATCGGAAAAACCTGCTCAGTTTTGAATCCGGAATATTGCTTCTGAGTTTCATTAATTTCCGATCTTTTTTTTTTTTGATCGGAAACGTTCCGTATACATTCAATTACGGCATTTACTTATTCGGAACATGTATTAAAATGAAATAATTAAAACAATATCGATTGAATCTTATCGAAACTTTATAATCAACCCGATATATTCAGATATCTTGATGTACAAAAAAAAAAACCATCATTCTTTTTTTTGTGCTTCAAATACATATTGATATATGTCTATCGCAAGAATAAAGGAGAAAAAAAAAAGTTGTATTTTCAATCATTATATCCTATATACAAACGAAAGAAATATGAGTAAAATAATCTTTCAAGAAAAGATTTGGATTGATAAATTTTAATTCAACTATAAAATATCTATTAAATTCATATCGTGACAAGAAGAAAAAAAAATAAATTCGCGTTTTTTTTTCCTCTTGTGTGACTTCGATATTGTCGAATAGTAAGTATTTGTGATATACTGTTTTTTTACCTTCCTATATCGAAGGGTCAACATACGGTCATATCTATCAGTATTTTTCGTTCTTTTCGTATATTCTATAACTAAACAACAAATAAAAAGTACACCTTCTCGTTCACTCATCACTGAATTTACTTCGCATATATATATATATTTAGTAAGTACAATGATAATCTACTTGAACATAATTTATAAAATAATCAAATATTTATTTATTAGAGATTTTTCTTTCGATGAACAAAGTTTTTTTTTTTTCGTTTGAACTGTTTGTTGTCAAGGTAAAGATAAATAGGACATGAGAGAGAGAGAAAGGTTCGTGTTCTTTTTTTATACGTCAGTGAATCATTGGTGTATCGAATCGGGCATGAATATTCGTTTTTTTTTCTTAATAAGAACGAAAAAAGTTTCATCGAATATTTAAAACAAAAAAAAAAAGTTTATATCTTGTCAAAAACGAATACATATTATTTCTAATCATTTCAAAGAAATATTAAAATAAAATTTATTCTTTATCTAGGTTTCAAAAAAAGAGTAGATATCTATTTTGGAGGAGTACAAACATGTACCACAAACTTCGGGCGAGTCACCTTGATCTTCGAGTAGAGGAACTGCCTCCCAGCTTTTACATCGGATAAGACATTCTTGCCTATAAAGTATTTATTCATTATTTTATTTTAAATATGATCAACTCAATTGATCGTTTTTACATGTTTTTTGTTCTAGATTAGCTATTGTTTGAGAACATATGAAGAAATTGATTACAGACGGTTAGATCTTCGAATATTTGGATTTCAAAATAGGTTTTATTTATTTAAATAAAATTGAAAATTGACTATTCTATTTATTTATTTTCTCTACTAACGAAATAACAGACAAAAGATGAAAACTAATTATTAGATATTTTCTGATTGATTATTGATTTATTTAAGTATATGAAATAATTTTAAATAGAGTATTGTCCTTGAAATATTCATTATCGAACTCGATCATTTCAACCTCCAGAAATGATGTAGTACTGTATTAACTTTCACTGTAATCCATTGTTCCGATTTACGGATCGGTTTTTTTCTTCAGCTAACGAACAGCCATTGTTTCTCACACTATTTTTAGAATTATGGTAAATGCCAATGTAATGCCGCTATTTTGTGAATCATTGGTTTATGTGACTATCGAAAATGAACTGTTTTTTTTTAAGTTGTATTAAATTTATCTGAACTGAAATCTTATAGGAACGGTTTTTTGGAAATTCTGAACTTGTCTTGGTTTTTTTTTTCCTAGTTCTTCATAATGAATACAAACTAGAAAACAGAATAAATCTGTTTATTTCAATATATATATAAGTCAAAAATCAGTGTTCAGAACGTACCAAACGAAAAAAAAAGTTCCTCGCACATTTTGATCGAAATTCTTAGATGCAAATTATTTTTTTTCATAAAGAAAACCTTGATTTTGTTTGAATAATACAATGTATCGAATTGATTCTTTATTAACTTATTTTAGTATATATGAAAATTTATTTTTTTGTATTCTATTATAGATAAAATATAATGGCTACAAAAACTTCACCATTTGCTTTATATAAAACTTTTATCGATGCTTATATGCAAGGTCATCCTGAAGTGGTCAAAAGTGTATGTAATTTCTCGATTGATTTTCTTTTATTAATACAACTTCTTTTTTTTTGTCTAGCTTCGTCATTATAATGCTTTAGCTGAATGGGATAAAATAAAAAATAATGAAGAATTAGTTAAAAAAAATATTGAAAAATATCTTGAAATTGCAAAAAAATCAAATGTAATTGAAAATGAAAAAAAACCTTCTATTGATAATAAAAAATCGACAACAACAACAACAACACCAACAACAACAACAACATCACGAAAACGAACAATATCATCTGATGATGAAACAGAAATTCATGATCCATTATTTGATCCTGATATAGTTATACCAGTTGTACCAACATTTTCAAAACGTACAATAAGAAATTCTGTTGAAATAAAAGAAGATGAATCAAAACCATGGGTTATTCGTGGTATTGAAAAAGCTAAAGCACGTGTTGATGCACATTTAGCAAAAATTGAAGCAAAACGTCTTGCTAAACAAAATCGAGTAAAAGCTCCTGCACAAGAAGCTCTTGCACAAGAAATAAAAGAAATAGGTGAACGTATTGCTAATTTAATGCAAGTTAAAAATATGGGTTTATCAACAGAAGAAACAAATATGACATTAAAAAAATTAATTAAACAAAAAAAAGAACGTTCAACTGAACTTAGTCTTTTACAATCAAAACAACGTGCTGGTAAACGTTATCGTCAACGACGAAAAAAACGTCTTGAAACATTATGTAATGCTGATCCAGAAGTTGCTACTGAACTTTTAAAACTTTATAAACCATCAACAATATCTGTACATTCAATTGAAAATGTTTCACCTGATTTATTACAAACAATTGAAGAAATTGCAAGAATTGGCGGTGTATCAGATATAAATTCAAGATTGATGAATATTGGTCCATGTACATCATTAGAGGAGCTTAGAGAAAAAATAAAAGAACGTGGTTATGAAATTCGTAGATCATCACTTTTCTATCGGTAAATATTGAAGTTTTTCAAAAAAATAAAACAAAAATTTAACTGTTATAATTTTTAAACTCTACATTTTAGTCTTATACCTTCTGGTGCTTTTTCTGAAGATGGAAAAAAACATGGTACTTCATCAAATGTTCGTCTTCGAAAACTTCAAGGTATTGAACAAGCTAGACATGAAGGTAATTTACAAGATTAAAAAAATTCAAAAAACCAAAAAAAAAAGAAAAATGAATTCATTTAATATTTATTTAGATTGCCATTTTGTATCTGCTACTTTAAAATATATCAAAGATTTAGCTGGAACTTTTGGAAATGATTGTGTTTTTTATCTTGTTCAAGATAATAAAGCTTCAATTAGAATTGGTCGACCTGCATCTAGAGGAAATTCACCACTTATTATGCGTCTTGATTATCAAATAAGTACAGCAAATTCAACACCATTACCACCGTCGGTTCCATATCAACTTAAACCAACGTATGTTGAATATTAAATGCAAATGAAATCTTTTTTATTTTGCGTGAGATCAATGATCAGCATGAATAGTTTTCATTTACAGATCAAGTTATTATATAAATCCAATAGATATATCCTTTTATAGTAATCCTACAAAGAGCCTTAATTTCATGACTAATGAGGGAAGGGTCCCAACTGTCCAATCGCTTTTGAGCTGAGACTATGTGCATTATGTAGATCCAAATGAGTTATGAATACCCTGAAAAAAGTTCGGGCCACTAGCCTATTGCTACGGAGATAGTGTACTTTTACAGTATTCTTTAAAAATAAATGCCGTGGTCCCCCTCAGGAACACCAGAAAAACTGATTTTCGAATTTCGATTTGAAACTTTGGATAGAGACAGACCTTAATCAGAATAGTTTATTCTGAATGTTTCTAAGATTTTTTCATCTGCTTCTATCCTAAAATAAGAACATAAAATCTGCCAGTTTATATAGACAAGTTATTCATAACTGTATCCTAGGATAGAAAGGGCGAAAAAATCTAAAATATTCACAGCAAAC